TAAGTATTTGAACACCTCACAATCAGCAAGGATTCTGGCTCTCATAGACCTGTTACTATGCCTTTAAAAAGCCTTCCTCTATTCCACTTATTAATCTAAATTAGTAGCACCTGTGTGAGCTCTTTAAAGACACCTGTCCACCCCACAGTCAGTCAGACTCCAACTACTACCACGGGCAAGACCAAAGAGCTATCAAAAGACATCAGAGATAAATCTGTGGACCTCCACAAGGCTGGAAAGGGCTAAAGGGCAGTTGCCAAGCAGCTCGCTGAAAATAGATCAACTGTTGGAGCAATTGTTAGAAAATGGAAGAGGCTAAAGACGACTGCTAATCTCATCTAAATGCTGTCTCTCACAGTGGGAATGCACCTACAATATGAATTTCAGACCCCTCCATGATTTCTAAGTGGGAGAACTTGCAAAATCGCAGAGTGTTCAAATACTTATGTTCCTCATTGTGCATATGTACATATCTCTTTCTTTGGCAATGTTTTTCCGTAAACAGCAATCTGTGTTCATCTGTAAACCTTATTTTATGATAGGTTAACAAAGTTGTTAGATAAGCTGGTTGTTAGATAAGCTGGTTGCTGGATAAGTGCCCAAGTGAGGTAGATTGAAAATCCTCCTACAAATACAACTCAAATTCAAAGAGTACACTTCATTAATGTTGTTGTACAGAATAACAACACATACTGGATTAAAGGCAAATTCATGGCTTGAGTTTCCAGTCCCTCAAACATTACCTTGCAAGTCGTCTGTATGGTGAAGAATTTCTGCAACATATTAAATCCTGTTCTCTGGTGTTATTTTTCTGATTTGTGTTACAGTGGTGCAGAATAAGGCTAACTGGGGAGTGACATACGCTGCAGCTAAGATATGTGCCTCCAATGGATCAACAGTGGAAATGAAATGCACCTACACATATCCTGCAGGGTATACTGTTACAGAAGAATTCTGGTGTTTTGAAAATAACGAGAACCTCATAGTCAACTCAGATTACAAAGATCGGATTCAGTACAACTGTGCTGAGAAAAGATGCACTATGAAAATGGCAGACTTGAGATGGACAGATTCCCGTGAATACAGGTTCCGTTTCATAACACACAAATCTGATGGAAAATATACTGGTATACCTGGAATCACTTTGTCTGTTACTGGTAAAAAAATTTTACTTTACTTTTTTCCCTTTTTCTTTTTCTGCAAAAGGTAGCATATTTATGTTTACAATGTGTAGACCACAAGGACCAGGCACAACCCCGATGTTTAGTTTGACTTATTTTATTTTTAGTTTGCTCGCACATTCCAGTGTTGGCTTCTGCCTTTATTGAAGTAGGGAAGGCATGATTAGATGATGCTTACCAGCTGCAATAATCAGCATTCCCTGAAACCATATCCTGAACCCGCTGCTCCACCCCTCCCCTGCAGCAGAGCCACCAACCACACCCTGCCACTGCAGTGGAGTGTGATCCAAACA